CGGAGTTCCTGTACAACCTCTACTCCTCGGAGGGCAAGGGGGTCTTCGACTGCCGGACCAACGTGCTGGGCCACTTGCAGCAGGTGCGGGCACGGTCCCCTTGATCGGAGTGAGTGACGGCGGCTGCTGCACCCACCAAGTGCAGCCCCTCACACGCACCCCGCCCTGCTCCCCGGGTGTTTGTGTGCCTGTCGCCCCCTTCCGGGTGGGGCGAGGCTGTGACTTGAGGTGGGTCCTTGGGCCCCCAGGCTGGGCCCGTCCCCCGGAGGCGCCCAGCTTCCTGCCATTCCTGTCCTTCCCCTGCGGGGTGCGGGGGCCACACTGCTCTGACCTGAGTACCCTCAAAGCTGGGCTCTGAGGGCCTGCAGGAGCAGGGCTGTGGCCAGCCCCGGGGACAAGGTGTCCCTCTATCCAGGGCGGGGCTCCCACCCCCTTTGACCGGAACTACGGGACCAAGCTGGGGGTGAAGGCCATGCTCTGGATGTCGGACAAGCTGCGGGCTGTCTACCGCAAGGGTAGGTGGGACCCCCGGGCCGGCCTTGACCTCCGGGGTGTGGGTGCCCTGGCCTCGTCCACCAAGTGCCTGTGTCCACAGGGCGGGTGTTTGCCAATGCCCCGGACTCGGCCTGCGTGATCGGCCTGAGGAAGAAGGTGGTGGCTTTCAGCCCTGTCACGGAGCTCAAGGAGCAGACAGACTTCGAGTGCGTCCCCCTGGCTGTGCTGTGTGGAGGGGGTGTGGTTCCTGGGGACCCCCCCCCCCACCAAGGCCTCGGAGAACAGTGGTTGTGGCCGGGCTTTGTGAAACAGGAGAGGGTCTGGGGAGGGGCCGGTAGGGCTGGCAGGGAAGAGGGCCGGGCCTGATGCCCCCACGGGTGACCCGCCCACAGGCACCGCATGCCCCGGGAGCAGTGGTGGCTGAATCTGCGGCTGATGCTGAAGATGCTGGCCCACTACCGCATCAGCATGGCTGACTACGTGTCGGGGGAGCTGGAGCACGTCACGCGCCGCACGCTCAGCCTGGACACGGGCTTCTGAGCCGTCCTGCCCGTCCGGCATTGGGTGGGGCTCGGGCCAGGACCACCGTCCTGCTGTGCTGGCCCGCGCCCTGCACTCCCCACACGCCGCACTGACCTCCCACCTACACTGCCGCCTTTTCTAGAAATAAAGTCGCCCGACTGTGGTCAGGCTTACCTGGGGATCACAGCCAGGACTGTGGGTGGGCAGGACCATGGCATGGCCTGCTGGGCGAGCCTGGGGTCACGGGCCACACCTGCGGTCACTCCCTGGGGGCCCTGCCAGCCCTGCTCTGGGTGCACAGGGCTGTGGCCTCCCTGACTGAGGACTTCCTGGCCTGGGGTGGCCCCACCCTGACTCTCCGCAGGACTCAGTCTGCCGGATCTTGCCGTGAGTGAGCTGCACAGAGACGGGCATAGTGGGCAGGCAGGGATGGAGGTGGCTGGCAGGGTGAGCACACCGGCCGCCACTGCTGCCCACTGTCCACCACTAAGGACGGGCCAGGGCTGGTCAGCTTCCAGGCTGCTCCCCAGAACCATGACCTTTGGGGAGAGGAGGGGTCCCGTACACATGGGGAGCCCCCAGCAAACCTCAGGGCAGTCATGGAAGTCAGAAGCATTGGCCAGAGCAGAGTGGAGGTTCACCGGTGGTGTCAGTCCTGCAGCCGTGCCCAGCATCCCAGAGGTGGGCTTGTGACACGCTGGTGGGACTGGCGGCCCTGATGCCCCTCACACTCCCAGGGGCCCTGCATGTGGGACACGGGAGTCACCAGGGCCATTATGCCAGCAGCGATCAGTCCTGCCACATAGGATGTGACCTCACTTGGGACCCTGCCAGGACACACAGAGGGACATGTGGATGGAGAAGGCCGCCTCCTTTACAGTCCATTTTGTTTTGATTTGAGACAGTCTTACTATGTAGTTGAGGTTGGCCTTGAGCTCACAGTAGCCCTGCCTCAGCCTCCCGAGGGCTGGGATTACAGGTGTGTGCTACCACGCCCGGCTCTTTTTTTGGGGGGTCCCGGGGATGGAACTCAGGACCTTGCACTGCGGTGGCACCACTGAGTTACACCCTCAGTCACTGGCTGTTACAGTTCTGCACAAAAGTTAGCAGTGGGCACTGTGGCACCGGCTTGGGTGAGACTGCAGGTGTGTTTTCCTGCCCTGCCCAGTCCTCATCTCCCAAGGGGACGGCGAGTGCTGGGCCTTGTCTTCTCAGGGTGCTGCCCTGTGCAGTGGCTCAACCCTCCCAGTGAGGTGGGCCCCAGGGTGGAGTGACATCTGACTTTCCAAGGACACCTGAGGCCAGGGCTGGCTGTGGGACTCTGGGGGCCCCAGGCAAGATGAACATGGGGTGATGTTCAGCAGGTGGTGAGTTTTAGGACAGTGACAGGGAGGTGGGCATAGCCAGAGATGGTGTGGCAGAGACCATGATGGCCACCGTGGCCCGCTCCGCGCCTCCTTTCCAGCTGGCAGGAAGCTCATGCAACCCATTCTCACGAGGCCAGAGTCCCTGCGGCCTCGGGCCTGAGACTGGTGTCTCCCAGTACACAACAGCAAGGCCCCTTGCCCTCCCCCTAGCTTCCTGCTGGCTGGGCCAAGTGCCTGCTGGGGACACCTGTGCCATGTCCTAGAGCCGCCCCACGTGCCTAAGGAGGTGGCCCTCAGACAGTGAGGAGAGGCCTGTGTCAGCAGCTGTTCAGCTTGGGACCCAGAAGTGGCCTGGGTGACACCCACAGTTCAGGGTGGCCATCCCTGCCCAGGGCAGCTCCAGGGCACAGAGGCCATGTCCCACCTGCTCCTGGCTGCACTGTCCCCCATGTGTTGTCCACTGAGTGAAGAGGCCCAGCCTCAGCTCTCTTTCCAGTGGCCTGGGCTAAGGACATTGACACCACGGGATGCTAGTACCTGCCATGACCGAGTGCCCACCTTCGGGCTATGTGGAAGTTCAGGAAGTGTATCTGGGGGTCTTTCCCTGATGTAGTCCCGAAGGTGTGTGGGACAGGAGGGAGCAGGGAGTGCAGGCCTGGGGCAGGGACATTCTGGAGTTAAAATCACTCCCTGCCCAACAGGGATGGCGCTTTATTCATCTTAGTGACCAGAGGCGGCAGGCACAAGCTGGGGACTGTCCACCCTAGATGGCCTGCACTGTGACCCCTTGCTTCCCACCCTTGGAGGCCACACCTCATCCTGAAGAATGTGCAAGGGACCGCAACTAAGCTTGAAACAGGGCTCAGCCTTGTCACCAGTGTGACAGCCCAGATGTCCTGGCCTCGGGAGGGCAGTCACCATGGCTGGCTCATGACCCAACGGGTGCTCAGCAGCATGGCTGTGGGCCCCTCGGAGTCAGGGTCCTGACCCCACGAGGAGGGCAGAAGGCGCGTGCATGCCTCAGATCAGCCACTCCTATCCCTTGGCAGGAGGCTGCTCCTCCAGTAGACAAGTCCCTGGCCGTGGGGGCCCCAGGACAGCCCAGGGCAGTGTTGTTACCCCAGCTCCTAGCAATGCCGTCCCCTCCCTGTCCGGACTGGTGGACAAGGGTGCCCACGGCCCTCACAGGCTCAGAACACCCGCCCCCACCACTGCAGGTTCCTTAGAAGACAGAAAAATGAAGAGGAATCCTGCCCGGCACTGCTGAGAAGAAACTGTCCTTTCTGGTGGTGGCCACGATGCCAGCTCGAGACCCGAGGGCAGACATCCCTCTGGAAGGCTCCCCAGTGGCTAAGGACCAAAATGGCACAAACACCTCAGAAGCTGCAGAGTGGGCCAACCCCTGAGGGGAACGTCAAGGCCACACCTGCCACCAAGCTGTCCACTCCGGGTCAGACAGGAAGTGCTTTACGGGGAGGGCAGCAGGCCAAGCCCAGACCCCTGTGGCTTCTGCGTTTGAGTCGGGATGGTCCTGGTGTGAGTGGGCATCTCCAACAGCCCGGGCGCTGGAGCCAGGTCTGCCCGCCGACATCTGACACCTTCCTGCCTTTGTCTGGTGTGCAGACAGGAGCTCTAGAGTGGGCCAGGCGCTGTGGGCCGTCCAGGATCCGCCGTCACTCTGCGTCCTCCCGCAGCTCCTGCCTGTGCAGTGCCTGCAGGCGGCTGCCCACGGCCTGCCGCACGGCCTCCAGCCCCTCCGTGTCCAGCTCCCGCAGCAGCAGCAGCACAGCTGTCAGCACATTCTGGGGACGGGGAAGGGATGATCAGAACAAGGAGGGTCACGGTGCAGACCTAGGAGCGCTGACCTCCCTTCAGGCGAGGAAATGGAGGCACAGAGGCTGAGGGCCCTGACCGCTCAGTGTGGTCCACCACGTGGGTCTGCGTCCCCAGGAGGGGACAAGACTGTCTGTGCCAGGAAGATACCCTTGGGAGAGACAGCTCCTCTTATTGGGGCCAGGTGGGGCGGGGGAAGGGGCTGTAGGACAGCTGGGGGCCGTGAGTGGCAGGCAGGAATGTGGGGAACTGTGGGGAAGGTGCGGGTCTACGGCTGGCACTGAGCTGCCCACTCAGCCTTCCTTGGCCACCAGCCTGGAACCCTGGGCTGTTCCCCAGCCCTAATGGTGGTGGCAGTCCGTCTGCAAGCAGCAGGCCTCTGACAGCTTTAAGCCAGTCATGCAGCCACCCAAGGTATTCCAGAGCCGTCAGCCCCGAGGACGGCCACGGCAGCAGTGAGCCAGGCCCTGTCCTGTGTACCTTCCACTCCCAGCGGCCGGGAGCCTGGGGGACTTGGTTGTGCCAGTTCCCACGGTGTTGCCAGCCTCGCGCCCAAGACTGGGCAGAGGGAGTAGCGGCAGCTTAGCCGTGATGGCCGGTGTCACTCACCCTGTTCCTGGGGCCGCTCACGGTGCTCCTCTGTACGAAGGATGGAAACTGGTCCTCGGCAGGGTTCTTCAGGCTAAGGTGGTCCTGGACGCAGCTGGTGAGGACACCATGCGGGTGTGTGAGGTCTGCGGGCACCAGCAGGACACAGGAGGCAGAGCCCGCCACGGGGACTTCCGTGTGATACCAGGCTCCAGCACAGTAGCGCCTCCTCCTGCTTCGTCCCACTGTGGCGACCTCCCTGCTCCTGGGCTCCTGACTGTGACCCCTTCTTTCATCCAGGGCCTCAGAGAGGGCACCGAGCACAGGGGCCGGCACAGCAGTGCCAGCCTGCAGCTGCCATGGCAGGGTCACACCCACTGCCCCACGGCACGGGGCTGTGGACACTGAGCCTGGGCTGCTCTAAAGCCCCCGCGCCCTCCCACAGCCACCTCTGCAGCAACAGATGCCCGGGCAGCGCCCAGCTGCACCTACTCCTGGGCCTCCCCCACTTCCCACCCCATGGCCTGGGAGGGTGGGAGGCAGGGAGCAGGGGCCTCCGCCCCTCAGCCCACCCGAAGCATGCTCTGGGAGCCCCGCTCCCGGCCTCACTCTGCCTCTTCGTCCACACAGCTCAGCGAGTCCCGGTAGGTCTCAGTGGCACAGCTGAGGGAGCTCACGGTGTCAGGTGGCTCGCACCGGCCCGGGCCCGGGCCCTCCCTCTCCGGGGCGGCCGTGATCTCATCCCCCTCCATTAGCGCACGGGTCAGCTCCTCCTCGGTCACCGCTGCGGTGGGGACAGAGGAAGCAAGAGCATGAGAGGGCCTGGCCGGCTCCCTGCCGCACTGGGTGTGCCCCACCCTCGCAGCCCTGGCCCTGCTGTGGGAGCCAGGCCCGGACGGTGTAGGAACGGGTGGGTGTGCTGGGGCCGGCAGCCTCCCCGGGTAGCGAGTGCGCAGCTGCGCAGCCCGACCCTGACAGGAGGGCGCATGAACAACGTGCTTGGTGTGGGTGCAAAGCCACCCACAGCTCCTGGGCCCAGCCACCGGACGTGTGTCGTCGTGGGGCGCATGCTGGATGCTCAGAGCAGTGCTGCCCGCGGGGACAAAGGGAGAAGCCGCGACTCGGGTCTGCTGCCCCTCAGGACGCACAGCTGCGCCTGCCCGGGGGCACACGGATGCCCACCCTGGTTGTCCAGCTTCTGCAGGTGCGGCAGGTTGCGCAGCACCGTCATGCGGTAGAGGTGCGGGCTGGGGCCACAGCACGGGTTCTCAGCCAGCCACAGCACCCGGAGGTGTGGCAGCCCCTTCAGGTAGAAGAGCTCGTCCAGGCTGGGGATGCGGTTCCTCCTCAGGTATAGCTCGCTCAGGCGGCAGCAGCGGCTCACTGGCTCCAGGGTGGAGACACTGTTGACGCTGTGGGACGATGCTGTGAGCGACTCTGAACTCTGTGGGCCCGGCCTCCACACACCCGCGGGCCCAGACATAGGCCAAAGTCAGGAGCACAGGTCAAGGTCAGAGACCACCCCAGCTGGAGCGAGCCCCTTAACGTGAGGGGCGGCAGCACCCGCTGCCTCAAACTGCGTTGACAACCAGGAGGTGGACGCTTCAGGAGGCAGTGGCCGGAACTCCCAGCGAAACAGAGGGACCTGAGTGCTAACCTTCCAAGCCCCACACCAGGAAGAACTGGAGGATGAGGACTTCATTCCATTCAGTAGGTGCATGAGCAATCCCAGGAAGAGAAACACACATAGTGTCCCCACCTTACAGCAGACAGACTGGCCTAGACAAACGGGCCCTCGGCACCCTGAGTCCCCACCACGGTCCCCCATGCGCCAGACCCAAGGTGCTCCCTCCTGCAGGGCCACCCCAGGGTGGGGCATATGCTGGAAGGGACACCAGTGCCGTGCCACCCTCAACATCAGCCCCCGCCTTGGGTACAGGGTGTGCAGGAGGGAATTTGGGGGCATGGGGAGCTCTTCCCCCAAAATGCTCCCCGACTGCCCATACTGATCAAGTGCGAAGTCCAGTGATGCAGAGACACCTGTGAGCTCCGGTGGGATGGAGCAGGGAGTCCCAGGACAGACCAGGCCAAGCTTACCAATAGGAGCCCCAGCCATGGCTGCTAGGGCCAGGTGACAGCTGTGGCCAGGTAGCTCAAGCATAGAGGGGCTTCCAGTTTGTCTCTTGTCACTCAGCCCCACAGAAAACTAAGCAGCCCCCAGCTCCCATGCCCCAGGGGTCATGATGCGAGAGTCAGGTACCTGAGCGTGATCACCTCCAGGCTGGGCATCTCCCGGCATATGGAGATCTAGGGAGGGAAGAACATGGCTGCCAATGGCATAGCACTGATGGCGTCCTCTCAGCCTAACTGGATCAGAGCACAGGTGTGGCCATGCTCAGAAAGGCCCCACAGGGCACGCAGGGCGCAGGTTCATGCTGCCCTCTGCAGCCCAGACCTTGCGCACTGTGGGCAGCATGGCTCACTGGCACCCGTGCTGGCCCTGTGAAGCTCTTACAGATGCTGCTAGCTGCAGGGAGCATTCCTCACCGCAGAGCCCCCAGGGACTCAGGGGGCCCTGTGCTGGGATGGAGGCCTGCAGAGCCAGGCCAAAGGGAGACAGGGTTGAGTCTGGGCCTCAGACCACGTCAGCACTACTGATTGCACAAACAGGGTGGTGCTTGGGTCCTGTGCCAGGTGCTGCACGCTTTGGTCTCACAGACCCCTGGTTCCAGGGCCCCCATACTCTGCCTGTCTACTGCACAGGGTCAGGGAGGGTGAGCGGGCTGAAGCCTGTGCCGACCAAGAGGAGGCCACACACAGTGTCTGCTGACTACTGTGTCTGCTCAGAGGACAGCCGTCCCGAGACTCCTTCCCAGGGCACAGCCCTCCTTGGGGCTCTCACCTCAGTTCCCTGTCCCTCTAGAAACGGTGGTGATCCCCTTGGACCTGCGACTTATTGGCAGGCCTGACACATGGGACAGAACCAATGGCCATGTCGACAGTTCTCTTGCAGAGGACACAGCTTTTTGGGCAGGGGCCACTAGGAGATGATCAAGGTAATACTTACATCTGTGAGGCGGCTGCCCCTGAGGAAAGAAAAAACATCTGTATATTAATCTCATTAGAGTTGACTAAAAGATATCCCAAATTTGCCAAACTAATGATGAATGCTTACAAACCTTAAGAGTCTATGATTTCAATTACACATTTAAAAAAAGAAAGCTTTCCAGACGATTGGAAAAGGTGTCAAAATTGTTGGGCTGACTTTAGACAAAATTATATGCGTGGTGCTCGGGGGTGCTTTCCAGACTAAGGAAGAACAGGGGCTGCTCTGTTTACAGGACATGAAAAGATACACTTATTCTTCCAGTGGCTAAATAGCAGAAGGTTCATTTCCCTCACCTAAACAAGGGAATCTTCATACCTGGCCAAGTTCAAAGGCTAAACATGCAACTTATGAAGCCAACTCTAAAGGTCTGAAAGGGGGTTGTTTCTCTGGGCACAGAGAAAGCCCTGACTACCCATGCCCAACAAAGAAGGGCATTATTACACTGGGGACAGAAGGAAACCATGGCCAAACCGCCACTTGTGGCTGGCAGACAGAGGGCTTTTTAATGAACCCAGCTGGGCTCTCTCCCTCCAGCACTGTGACAGGGTTCTGTGTCTGCAGAGCCCCTCACCGCGCGGGGTGCAGTGTTCAGAGTCCTCCGAGACATTTGCAGCCCCTGCAGACCACCTCCTCTAGCAGCTCGGTCCACTTGGCCCCACAAGACCAGGCCACCCGGTTGTGAGTCTGTGTCGGTCGCACACCTGTCCCTTGCTGTCCAAACAGGGCCACCTGGGCACAGCCCTCCCCTCAGTTCTCTGTCCCTCTAGAAATGGTGGTGATCCCCTTGGACCCGCGTCTTACTGGCAGGCCTGACGCCAAAGACTGCTGACAACTTTAGACATCAGACGATTACAGAGGGGCCAGCGAAAGGCCACCTGAGGCTTCACCGCAGCCAGCAGGGAGCTTCTAGTTGTCAGGCGGGCACAGGGGCCTGGAGTCTGCGTCGACACATGCCCTGGGGGACGGGGATCTTCGCCCCTGGGGACCTAGGCTCGTGCGACCCCTTCCCAGGCTGCGGGCCTGGCAGGTGCGATCCTGTTCACGGGCCGGACCTTCCCGCCTGCCCGGCTCTCGGGCGCGCCCGGGGCAGCATCAGGGGCCCAGGCCTCACCAGCAGTTGAGCTTCCGCACACTGTGCAGCTCCGAGGCCTTGGCCCGGGACAGGACCATCTTCCGCGTCAGCTTCATGACGCCGCCAGCGGACCGCACGCGCGGCCCTCACTCCTTAGCCCCTGGGTCCCGGATCTCCGCGGAGGCAGCTCCCGGCTGCAGGTCTCCAGGAGGAGGGGCCTGCGTCGCCAGGGGCGGATTCCGACAGCTTATTGGAGGCCTGGCTAGTGGGCGGGGTCGCGCGGGCGCAGTGAGGCCACCTGGGCTTCCGCCCAGCGTGTATGCCCGCCCCTCCCCTCGGGCCGCGCGCCGGTACTGCGCACGCGTGGGGCGCCTGTAATGACGCAACTTTCCGACGCGACTAGGTGCTCCAGGCGGCGGTCTCAGTCCTGGCTGTGGGTTCCAGCTGGCGTGTTCACCTGGTAGCTCTGAGTCACAGCGGTTTGAGCTCCCGAGGTCTGTCCAGGGCCGTTCCAGGAAGCCGCGAGGCCCAGGGACGACGCTGCGGAAATCCGACCTGGTCCTGGGCGGAAGGAAGGGCCGTCGCCAGCCGCGTGGCCCCCGCCTGCCTCGCCCCGGTACCCGGGGACTCTGGTGACAGTTCACCTGGACTGCTGGTCTTGACGCCCCTATCCCTCCAGCGCTCCGAGCTGTCAGAGCAGGCGGGTCCCGGATCGCAGGACCCACTGATCCCAAATAACCCATTTGTTCTAGAGAGGCTTGGTTTCTTTTTGAGTTCTGAATCGTGAATGGGTGCCCCGAGGCTGGGGAACGGGGAGGGTGCTGTGCTGAGGTTGAGGTGTGTGCGTGTGTGCATGGTGGCTTTGTGTAAGAATTGGGACACACATCCTCCGAGCAGTGCCGTCCAAGCCTTTCGCACCAAGCAGGCAGAAAACAGGCAGGACTAAGGGCCCTGGGCTGAGAGGTGCAGACCCTGAGCCCCAACCCACCAGGAGTGGCAGGCAGTAGCCTCCTGCAGGCTGGGGCTGCATGAGCTTGCACGGGGCGCCTGGCTCTCCTGCTTGGGGCTGTGGCAGGGGGACTGGGACCTGAATTGCAGGCTACAGGCGGCAGCTGCCCCCGGAGCTGAGACGTGGTGTGGAAGTACCCACTTACATCTGCAGAGGTGAGCAGCTCCACACTCTGGCCAGCCGTCTCGTTCTGGTGGGGCCCAGGTAGACCTGAGATGTCGTGTGTCATACCCAGTGCCAGCTGACAGGAGAGAGCTCTGGAGTTGCTGCCATGCTCAATATGGGCTTGACTCAAACTGTCCCTCCCCCTGCCCCTGGGCAGGTGTGGCCAGAGTGAGAGGTGAGTCAGGTCATTGATGTCAGGTAGGGCTGTGGGGTGGGCCTCGTCGGTTGCTTCCAGTCTTGGGTCTAGTCGTGCCCATGGGATGAGAGCTGTACCAGGAGATTTCTTGTAGGGGAATAGGCTGGGGAAAGAGAGGTCTGCTGTAGGGGTACAGCCCCCAGAGTTCGCCTGGAGCAGTGGGGGACCTCACTCTTCAGGAAGCGTGGCTGTTCCTGCACTCAGAAATCACCAGATCCCTGAAACGACCACTGCATCTCATGCCCCGACAGCCCTCGAAGTCTGTCCAGACTCACCTGCTTCCCCATCAGCTCGGGGCTGCACCTGAGCCACAGAAAAGCTGTGTGAGCTTGGGGAGCTGGAGGGTCAGCATCTTTACATGGCAGAGCCTTTGTGGTTGGAGACCGGAGGGGACATGAGCATGGGGGTCCTCCTCGAACTTCAGGCAGCTCGCCTTCCTCCCCAGCCCACGGGCACCTTTCACTGCAAACTCAGAGGCTGACATCCCTGACCTGTCACCAGCCCCTGCCCCTGCTGGCCCTGCCTATCCTAGGGTCTCAGTCAGGGCCCCCTCTTTTTTCCCCCACAGTGGGGCTGCCAGGGACTTGCCCAGTGCCCTCCAGCTTCTCCTTTTGAATTTCTAATTCTCTACAGCCATGACTAGATGAAGCCCAATTCCTACAACAAAGAACTTATTTCAAAATACTTCTAAGAGGTTTACTTCCCCGAAAGAACCCTGACATAGGCAGAAAGGCGACCCAAACTGGCTCAAACCAAAAGTGAAACATCGGCTCCCACCCCTGAGAGGCCCAGAGCAGTAGCTTCAAGCCTGCACCCTCCAGGGTCTCCAGGTTGTAGTTCTTGGGACCCCTGTCCCCACCCTCCCTCTCCCACTGCAGAGTGTCCTGATTGCTGCAGATTCAGCAGGGGCACCATCCCCAACTTGGGGATGATCCCACCGGAGTTGCACGCCCTGCACGGAGTGGGCCTGGGTCCCACGTGCAGCTCTGCGCTGGGGGTGGAGAATAAGAGAGCGAACCTCAGGGCTGTCCCCTCCAGCAGGGGGCAGACGCTGCAGTGCCTCAACCTTGGACAGCACAGACCCCTCTGTGTGCTCTTGCCTCTTTTCCTTGTCACAAACTTGTTCCCAATGAGGACCCTCTCTGGCAGTCACTCCCCCGGCCCACCTTCTCCTCCTGGGTGCCTGCAGGTGTGAACGTGCTCTTCTGTGTCCGCCGGCAGGAGAGCTGGTGAGCCCAGAACAGGGTGGGAGTGGGGCCAGTGGTCCCGAGTGTGCTGCTTCAGGTGTGTCACCTGCCCACACCCTCCTGCAGCCCATTCTGGCCCCTCTGAACTCAGCGCCCTCCGCACTCGTCACTGGGTGATGACGGGGGAGGAGCACAAGGTGGCTGAGTTGTGGCCTCTGAGCTCCAGGTCGCAGGGGGGCCTCGGCCATGCAGCTGTCATAAATGCTGCCCCTCTGCCAGCCTGTTGCTCCCTCCTACACTCGGTAACTGTGAGGCCCAACTGACACCCCGGGAACATGACAGTGACCTTGCTGCGCCCCCACCCTCCTTGTGGTTTGAGCCTGGGGTCTCTGGCACTCATGGCCCTGGCATCAAGGGTCACATTCATGGATGTACCGTGCCAGCTCTCGCTCCAGGGGCCCAACAGCGGGGACCCCCTGCCCTGGAGCTCTGTGGGGCAGGTCCCCAGGGGAGGGGCACCTGGCAGCACCTGACTCCTGGAGGTGACCAGGCCCCAACTCAGCCTCCTTTTCCCTGCCCCACCCTCAGGTGACCCATCTGGCCACACCTCTCCAGCCACCTGTCAGTCAGTCGCCTGCCTGCGCTGCCTGACAAAATGCCCCAAACCCAGCAGTTCCCAGTAGACATTTGTTTTCTCCCAGGAACGCCTCGCACCCTGCCCACAGCTGTGCTCCATCTCTGCCCATTCTTCAGTGTTCACACCTGAAAGGACTGCTTGCTTTGCCCTGTCACTTGGCGACAGAGGCCCCACGACAGCTGAATTCTGTCTCTTCACCTCCCGAATCCCCAGCCCCTGAGCCCACACCAGCCTTCAGTGCGCCAACTGGACACGAAGGCCAAGCTGGGGCCATGCTGCTGGCCGCTCCCGGCTTTCCACTGCTCTGAGCCAGGGCTACAGTGCCCCACCAGTGGGCGGGAGACAGTTCATCCTTTCAGGCCACTGTATTACCATGGTTGGGGGTGTAAATGACGGAGATTGAAGCCCATAGTTTCGGAGGCCAGGAGTCACAGTCCAGGTTCTGGCTGACCCGGGGTCCAGTCCACCTCCTGTCTGCATCCTCACAGGCAGACAGGCTGTTTGTGCCTCAACCTACTGGGATTTGAGTCCCACTGCACCCCTGCCCTCAAGGCCCGCTCTCCGGATGGCCCCACAGCCTAGCACCGCCACCTGGGAATCAGATCCCCAAGGGACCTGCAGAGGCGTCCAGCCGGCCCTGGCCTGCACTCTGCTGCCCAATGGCCCGGACACAGTGTTCAAGAATCTGGTCAGAAGCCTGTGGCAAATCCATGACTGCCCTGGTGAGAGAGGAGCAGCTTGGACCGTTGGATTCTGCTCAGTGTCCCGAGCATTTTCAGGCCCCGGGCCACTCCCGGCTGTCTGGTGACTGTCCCCCATGGGCGTGCCATCTGTGAGCAGAGTCCAGGGGCTGCACTAGATGCTGTCTTTTCATCTCGGGTGGTGCCTGGCCACGACCACACCTGTACATTTACCCACAGCACCTTTGCAGGCGATGCCTCGAAAGCTCTCAATCTGTTGACATCACAGGAGCAGGAAAACAAGGGTGCGCCCGTCTGAAGACCACTGCTGCAGCCCAGGGCTTGGGCCCTCCGCCTGTCTTGGGAAGTGAAGTTAGATGGTGCTCAGCCACACGGTTACTCTGTGCACTGCTTACAGCTCCCCTCAGGCAGAGCAGGATGTCCAGACAGGCCACCAGGCCGCAAAGCCTGCCATCCTTAACCGCCTGGCCCCAAGCAGGGAAAGTCTGCTGTGCTGCTCTGTCCCCGCCTCCCTGCCCCATCTCAGGTCTGCAGCCCGGCTGGCTCCCTGCTCCTGCGTGCCACTTGGGACCTTCACTAATTGTGGTTTTTCTCTTTGCTGCCAGGGCAGGGGGCTCTTTATCTAGGGCACAATGCCCAGACCATGAAGAACTCCTTGTGCCTCACAGAGAGGCTTTGTGTAGATCGGCACATGCTGTATTAAGGGCTGTGGTCAGCGCTCCTTCATTTTCCTGCAAAGGATATTTCATAACTGCCATTGCAACAGCGTCCCGGAGGACAGAATCTGGGCCTCTTGTAAGACCTGTAGCTTTTCTGCAGGCGGAAGGAGTCATGCTGGGGTGGATGAGTACAGATGTTTCATGAGATGCTCAGTTCATTAACCCCTCCACCTGGGACCAGTTTTCATCAGACGGTGCTGCAGTTGTGAGGGTTATGAAATATTAACTGACTGGCAGCATTGTTAGTTAATGAGACGGCTCTAGGGCCAGCGGGCACCCGGGAAGCAGTGCTGGACAGGGCTGAGCTGACAAGGCTGGGTCTCCACTTTCTGTCCCGTTAGCTAGCACCTAAGGTGGAGTTTAAGGTTGTCCGGTGGGTGCCCTAGAGCGCTTCCTCGTTGCCAGGCTCTGAGGATGTGGCGGTGGACAAGGTAGAGGTCTGTGTGCCCCACAGCCTGGAGCCCAGCAGGGCAGTGTCAGTGCAGCAACAGCCACTCACAGTGGCCCCTGCCATGGCCCACGGTGCCAGCTGGCTTGGAGGAGAGGCCCCAGTGGAGTTGAGAAAGTCACAAAGGCCTGCCCCCTGCAAGGGGTGCCACCTTTCCCACAGGGTAGATCACGGGCACCCTTTTCAGCTGTGGGCACCTGCACCCCCGCTGGCCTGTGGAGGGTGGGGCAGGGTCCCCTGGAGGCAGGTATGGTGGGCAGGATGGTGGCCAGGCACGGTCAGGGACAAGAGGAGGGGTGGCAGGTTGGGCAGGTCATGTGCAGGCCCCATCCCAGGACTGGAGCCAGGGCTGCTTCCCTTCCTGGACACTGAGGCCAGTGGGACCCACGAGTGGCACGTGAAATTGCCTGTGTTGGAAAGGAGGGCACAGTGGCTTTGAGCGACAACATAGGAGTGGTCAGAGGTCTGGCTGGTTTGGGAAGCCACTGCCATCTTTGCAGGGGCCAGAAGGAAGTCGCTTGACCCAGAGCCAGGCCTGGGCCCGCAGAGTTCAGTGGCCGGGTGGTTTGCTGTTTGGCTGTTCAGTGCTCTCCCAGTGAGGCAGGTGTGGGGAACAGGACTCAGCTGCCCAGCTAGGTCCGCCGGCTCCCAGGAGTGGTCTCTGGCTGTGGGTCACCCTATGTGAGGACGTAGTAGAGGCCTCTGAGCAGAGCAGGTTTCCTGAGGGGCGACTCACCCAGCCCGGGTCCACCCAGATCCCCTACCCTGCCCCTCCCCCTCCCGCGCGCATTTAAACCGAGACCTTGGCCACTGCGCTGCGGCGAGCGCTGCGTCCAAGGGTGTCGGGAGGCCGGGCTGCAGCGCGCTCGCTCTCCTCTCCGCGCCAAGTGACGCAGAGCGCGCTGC